CAGGTTTCATAAAGGGAACCATTCTGAAATGTTCTGAATTAGACTCGAGTAATTTTTGCACGTCTTTATATTTTGATAAATTGTTTTTGTAAAAAAAATTGAAATTTTGAAAATTTTGGACCGAAGGGTAATGCATAACGAAAAATTAACCTGGTATGACATTGGAGATCAATTAAGATAACTTATTCATGCTTATAGCTTTTTACTGTAGAGGTAGAAGCAACAATTATACGACAGAAAATTTCGTTTAACAGAGTTAATTTCACTCGTAGCTGTACATGGAAGCGACATTAATTTCAATAAAAAACACCGAAAACGTTATTTTTCATCATTACCAGTATTATACACTTAGATAATTACTTGACTGATATATTGTATATCGATAATAAAAATCAGCAGGAATGGCATGTCACAATGTCTAATTGGTTTCAATTTTTTTGAACATATGTCCAAAAAAAATTGAAACCAATTGGACATCCCCGAGAATCAGCGTAAATAAATGCCATGTTTTATTGATTTGATTGTCGAAAAGGTAATCTTTTGAAGAGTTAAGTAATCATCCAGCAGTCATGTTGATAATCAACAGTCTATATTTTTTTTTAGCCTTTCCGTTCCTGGTTCGCTTCTCAGGAAAATGACTCTATCGTCGACTATTTTACGGTGACTCAATAATAAGCTAATGCTTGGTGGCTGGTTTTTTAGGCGAAGTGAATTGGTAAGTAAAATCAGACTGCACGACTGCAAAGACCTTGCTGCAGTAGCAGTGCAAGGGCTTACCAGTTAGTCTCTGTGGATGCAGTAGGAGTGCAAGGACCTTAACATTTAGGAAACCAAATGCAGTACAAGTGCAAGGATTGGCTTTAGACTCCGAGTTTAGTTCCAGTAGCACTTTAAAACGCTGAAACGTTGAAACGCTAAAACACTGAAACGTTGATACGTTGAAACGTTGAAACGTTGAAACCTTGATACGTTGAAACGCTCAAACTCGAAAATTTTTACTAAATAAGGCAGTATGCATGTAGATCACCCTTTATGGAAGTGATTTACGTCTTGCATGACCAAATAAGACAATAGTCACGTAGATTATATTCCTTTTATGGAAATGATCTACATCGCGCATAACTTAAATTCTCTAAAACGCTAAAACACATATTATGTCACTTTTGAACCGAACAGTACACCGTAAGTTGAACCCAATATAGATAATTAACCCGACGAAGATGACCTATATACATGTATCAAAAATCAAAATGACACTTCCAGCCAATAAGGCATACATTTCAAGAAAAACACTTTATTAAAGTCGTGGGATCAGTCACCAAGCTGATTAAAGGTAGGGTGTCCGTTGGGGTGTTTGATCAACTAATTGTAACAAAGATCGGTATAGACCCCTAATTAAATCAATTAGTACAGATTTTTAATATGATTATATTGTTACACAGGCAAATATCATTTTTTAATAGTAATTTACTATACGAAAGTAATGAATTTTAAAATCTATCACCTCCCTCAGTATTAAATATTCGAACTTAAAAATATTATAAAATAGGCCAAAAAAGTGTGCTCTTCAATCTGTCATGAGGGTTTTTGTTGGTACTCACGTTTTAATTTTTTTTCTTAGTATTTTGTGGATATTTATATAATTAAAAAGGATTAATTTGTAAATAGCTCACGTTACACCTTAAATATTAAAATTTTGGCACGAGCATTTAAAGTACTGGTTATGATGCATTGATTAATGCAATTATCTTTTTAATTAACTAAAACGCTAAAAACTAGATAGCAAAAATTGTAAGTGAACATGTGACATATTTAATAATGCTGATTGGATGAAATCTTATCAAGAATTACAAAGCGAATAAAATTAGATTGAATATCATTACGGTCTGGGAAAGACATGTAATTTCTCATCTCTGAATTTAATTCTAAGTTATAGATCTTAAGACGGCTTACCAAGAAAGATGAATATTCACTTAGGACGCAGTAAGCGTAGAAAGTTGGCTTTGGTACTGTATTTTAGTTGTTTTTATCACGCGCATGATCACGTGCAATAGCCTTTATTCCATTAGAATGATTTTTGATAGGGTACACTTGAGTATATTTTTTTTATGATGCATTTTTATGCTCATATTATCGATTAAAAGAAATATTTTTTATTTGTTAAGCGATTCTTTATATAAGATCTATAACTAATAATAAAGCGTAAAGGAATTAATTACAAACTAATGAAGTAATAGATTAAAAAAATGCATAAAATCAGCTGTTTTAATTTAAATACGTAGCAAATCATTATGCTAAAGTGAGATAATGTCTTCTAAATATTATAGCGGAATTCATATAAATTTGTGTCTAATTGCCAATTCGTCCAATTCGCGCAATTTTGTGTCCAATTAGCACAATCTATATCCCAATTGTCTAGCTTGCACAATTTTATATCCAATTAGCATAATCTATATTCCAATTGTTCAAACTCGTGCAATTTTATATACTGTGTCCAATCAAACAACCCTTATGTCCAATTGTTCAAGTCGCAAACTTTTGTTTAATTATTATTTAGGTTCAAACGCGCTTTTGTAATAATCTTTATGTCCCAATTGTTTAGTTCACGCAACTCTTACGTCCAATTGATTCAATTGTTCAAGTTGCAAATTTTTATTTCCAGTTATTATATTGTTTAAATATTGGCTTTTGTAATAGTTTTATAATTTATTGTATGCATCTTTATGGATGACGGTCTATTATGATAAATTAAAGTGTTTGTAATTGTCTTTAAATTATTTATTTATTATAAAAAAAAATATTTAAATATTAAGAAATAAAATGTATTCCCAAAAACTACATGTTAAAGTATTACATTAAACAATTCCAAGCCAAAAAACAATTTCTATATTCAATTGCAATGCCAAAAGTTTCCAAAAAACGTCTCCAAATGATTCAATTAACGGCTAATCGTGTAAGGGCCAAAAAAATTAGAAAAGCCACAGATGCTCTTCAGTGTCTTGACAAAGATTTTGATAGCGTTCTAGAGTTTATATACAGTATTAAAAAAAAAAATAAGTTAGAAGCTTCCATAAAATCTAAAGATAAACTTATTGAACTTATCCAAGGCTTAGACAACAAAGAGAAAGAAGACGCATTAAAATTGCTAAACAATATGAGATATCCACGAGGAAAAAATGAAGGCAAAATTATATCTCCATATTTGCAACAGCAATTAGTTGAAGTAATTTCTAACTTTCTTTATTGGCCACAAGACAGCTATTCTGCTTTAAAAGAAGAGCGTGATCATCTTCAGCTACAAAACAAAAAGTTAACCCGGAAAAATGAAGCTCTTATTAAAAAAATAAAATCTTTCGGGTCTCAAAATCATCACTTCCAACAAAAAGCATTGCGTCAATTATCTGAAATACGTTCCTTAGTTCGTAAATCTAAAAAAATTTCTTCAGAAGATTTTAAAAAACAAGTTAA